CTCTAGTGGAAGCCGCCGGGCTAGTGCCAGTGGAGGGGCCCGGGCAAAGACAGTTGAAGTTGGCAGGTCAGTAGGGAGAAATACCTATCTCTCTAATCTTGCACTTTCTCAAAACCAATTCCTATTGTGACCCAGCTGTTGTCCCCTAACAGCCCTACTTACCCAGGTCTCTCCTAACCTACTTGGACGCTATTTTGAAGAAACTCCAACCCTGTCAATAACCCATTGCTCCATCAGGTGTTACAAGGGCCGTCGCCCGGAGAGTCATGCCCCCCACGTACCCAATCAGCCATCAGAGGCAGCTGCACACTTCTACTTCGAATTGGCAAAGACAGTTCTGATCAAGGCAGGGGGCAACAGCAGCACTTCCATTTTCACACATCCATCTTCCTCAGGAGGCCACCAGGGTCCTCATCGCAACCTGCACCTTTGCGCCTTTGAGATTGGGCTTTATGCCCTTGGCCTACACAATTTTGTTTCTCCTAACTGGCTCTCTCGTACCTATTCTTCCCATGTATCCTGGATTACAGGTAAGTCCAATGTCCTGATTTGCATACAGGATGGAGATGAATTGGAAGCAAGGGTCTTGTCTTTGTGACATTGCTGATCTGATGTAAGATATCATCCCCAGACCTCCAGTGGGGCTCACTTTGCTCCTTTTTCTTTTCCCTAAAGGGCAGGCAATGGAGATTGGCAGTGCAGCCCTGACTATACTGGTAGAATGCTGGGATGGGCACCTGACACCCCCTGAGGTTGCATCACTGGCTGATAGAGCATCACGGGCACGAGACTCCAACATGGTGAGGGCAGCGGCAGAGCTGGCTCTAAGCTGCCTGCCTCATGCCCATGCACTGAACCCCAATGAAATTCAACGAGCCTTGGTGCAGTGCAAGGAACAGGTACTTCTGCTCTCAGCTGTCTGCGCACGGGGAAACTTAAGTGCTCAGCATTTCTTCTATCAAAATTGTGTGTGTGTGAAGGTCAGAGGACAGCTTTGGGAGTTTTTTCCTTAGACCTTGTGGGTTCTAGGAATCACTCAAGTTGTCAGGCTTGACAGCAAGTGCCTTTACCTACTAGCTATCTTGACAGCAAGTGCCTTTACCAACTAGCTATCCTGACAGCAAGTGCCTTTACCTACTAGCTATCCTGACAGCAAGTGCCTTTACCTACTAGCTATCCTGACAGCAAGTGCCTTTACCTACTAGCTATCCTGACAGCAAGTGCCTTTACCTACTAGCTATCCTGACAGCAAGTACCTTTACCTACTAGCTATCCTGACAGCAAGTGCCTTTACCTACTAGCTATCCTGACAGCAAGTGCCTTTACCTAGTAGCTATCCTGACAGCAAGTACCTTTACCAACTAGCTATCCTGACAGCAAGTACCTTTACCTACTAGCTATCCTGACAGCAAGTACCTTTACCTACTAGCTATCCTGACAGCAAGTGCCTTTACCAACTAGCTATCCTGACAGCAAGTACCTTTACCTACTAGCTATCCTGACAGCAAGTGCCTTTACCAACTAGCTATCTTGCAGTCATTCTTCCCCCTCCTTCCTTCCTAGAGGCCTAAGTTGCCTAGGATGGGCTTGAACTCACAGTTGTGCTCCAGCCTTCTTATAGTAGCTGGGACATGCCATTATTTTGGGGTTAGGGACCCTCTCTTGATTTTCCCCATATTTAGTTAGGAGTTTGTGAAGTATCTAATTTTTCTCTCATTGTAACATTTCACATATTGTAAATTGAGTATCTGTTAGGTTTTGGAATATTTTCCAGTCCATGAGCTATCTTGAGGATGGGACCCAAATCTAATTATGAATCTAATATTTTATGTATTAATTATACAAACAGCCTAGAGATAATCTTGTGTCTCTTGCCGGGCAATGGTGGCACACGCCTTTAATCCCAGCACTTGGGAGGCAGAGGCAGGCGGATCTCTGTGAGTTTGAGGCCAGCCTGGTCTACAAGAGCTAGTTCCAGGACAGGCTCCAAAACCACAGAGAAATCCTGTCTCAAAAAAAAAAAAAAAAAAAGCAAAAAAAAAACTTGTGTCTCTCTTGCCCTCTTTCTCTCCAATGTATGTATGTACAATACAGTGTATGTATATGTATGTATGGGGAATAAAATTCAGGGCTTCATACAGACTTGGCAAGCAACCGACTTACAGTCTCCATGTAAGCATGAGCGCATATTTCATGGTGGTATCACGTTAGTGTTCAAAATGTTTCTGATTTTAGTATTTCTATTTTTCAAATTAGTGTTATTCAATCCAATAATATGAATTCACATTTTCACCCTTTACACTATGTTATAATCCTACAGTTAGGGTTATTCCCTTACATACACAAAGATATGGAGGCTTACATTTAGGGACCAGGATGTTCCCTGAGGATAGCCTTATAGAAATGAGTCTGTGTGAAGCACTCACTACTGATACTGAGCACTGACCCTGATTTCTGATGCCCCCCTCAACTAGCCATCATTCCTGGGTAAGCCCTTTTCCCCTAACGCCCTGTGCTCCTTTCCAGGATAACCTGATGTTGGAGAAGGCCTGTATGGCAGTGGAAGAGGCAGCCAAGGGTGGGGGCGTGTACCCTGAAGTGCTGTTCGAGGTTGCGCATCAGTGGTTCTGGCTCTATGAACAGACAGCAGGCGGCTCATCCACTGCCCGTGAAGGGGCCACAAGCTGTAGTGGCAGTGGGATGAGGGCTGCTGGGGAGGCTGGGCGGGTGCTGCCCGAGGGCAGGGGGACCCCTGGGACTGAACCTGTTTCAGTGGCTGCAGCAGCAGTGACAGCGGCAGCCACAGTGGTTCCAGTCATCTCAGTGGGATCCAGTTTATATCCAGGTCCAGGACTGGGGCATGGTCATTCCCCTGGCCTGCACCCCTACACTGCTCTACAGCCCCACCTGCCCTGCAGCCCTCAGTACCTCACCCACCCAGCTCACCCTGCCCACCCTATGCCTCATATGCCCCGGCCTGCCGTCTTCCCTGTGCCCGGCTCTGCATACCCACAGGTGAGACTGGCGTTTTGTTGACTGTGTGGTAGTGGGAGAGCACAAGGAGTTCGTAGGGTTGGAGTAAAGTACTTTGGGTGTATAGTAGGGCTGTCCAGGAGTTCGGATGAGGTGTGTGTAGGGGAACCAAGGCTGCTAAGAAATGTAGGAATGCCCATTTGTCACGACATAACTTGGTATCTGTTCTTCCCTATCCATATAGGGTGTGCATCCTGCATTCCTGGGGGCTCAGTACCCCTACTCAGTGACTCCTCCCTCAATTGCTGCCACTGCAGTATCCTTCCCTGTCCCTTCCATGGCTCCCATCACAGTTCATCCCTACCACACAGAGCCAGGGCTCCCACTGCCAACCAGTGTGGCTTGTGAGTTTCGGGGACAGGGAGCAGGTGAATGGAGGGGAGGTGGCACACTGGGCATGGGAGGTAGGAAGGAAATCTCTGGACCTCTTCTCTCACAGTGAGCAGTGTCCATCCAGCATCCACATTTCCAGCCATCCAGGGTACCTCACTGCCTGCTCTGACCACGCAGCCCAGCCCTCTGGTAAGCGGAGGTTTTCCACCACCCGAGGAAGAGACACACAGTCAACCAGTCAATCCACATAGCCTGCACCATCTGCATGCCGCTTACCGTGTTGGTAAGAAGTCCCTTTCTGTACTCTACCAACAGCTGGGTGAGGGGCTCTCTTCAGTGGATTCCCTCTATAGCTCTGTTTGTTTACTATGGGCTAGGTTCCTGGCTGGGGTAGAAGGTGGAGGATATACCCCATTGTGTGCCCATCTGTTTCCTAGGAATGCTGGCACTTGAGATGCTGGGTCGCCGGGCACACAACGATCACCCCAACAACTTCTCCCGCTCCCCCCCCTACACTGATGATGTCAAATGGTTGCTGGGGCTGGCAGCAAAGCTGGGTAACACCTCCCCTCCCCAGGACCATTGTCCCCCGACCTGATTCCCTACCATCCTATCCCAGACCTCCTTCCTAGCTCTTGCTCAGAGTTGAGGCCTTGGTCGGGTATGTGTGCAAGCGTGGGGGGTGGAGGGAGGCTCTCTGTCAGGCCAGAGCTGAGATATGTAAGTGGGTCCCTAGGGCAGAGGTGGCCACCCCTGTCTCATGCCCCTCCCCCTGCCCCCCCAGGAGTGAACTACGTGCACCAGTTCTGTGTGGGGGCAGCCAAGGGGGTGCTGAGCCCGTTTGTGCTGCAGGAGATCGTCATGGAGACGCTGCAGCGGCTGAACCCCATTCATGCCCACAACCATCTTCGAGCCCCGGCCTTCCACCAACTGGTGCAGCGCTGTCAGCAGGCATACATGCAGGTGATAACTCAGGAAATATGGAGCATGTTCAGGGAGGTGGGCACAAGAGTGTGTACGCTTTGTGCTGAGATCTCCTCAACCCACCCTCCAGTACATCCATCACCGCTTAATTCACCTGACCCCTGCCGACTACGACGACTTTGTGAATGCGATCCGCAGCGCCCGCAGCGCCTTCTGCCTGACACCCATGGGCATGATGCAGTTCAACGACATCCTACAGAACCTCAAGCGCAGCAAGCAGACCAAGGAGCTGTGGCAGCGGGTCTCTCTAGAGATAACCACTTTCTCCCCTTGAGTCTGGCCCCTACAGGGCCCTATATAGGGACACAGGCCTGTGGCTATGGGGGCCCCTCACACAGAGGGAGTGACTCTTGGCTGGACAGGTCATCCCCACTCAATTCCCTGATAGCCCAGACTGGCAGCTGTTCTTGGGCTGTAGCTTGGGGCCAAGATGTCTCAGACCTTCGAAGCCTAGGGCTGGGAGAGACAGCCTTGTCTGGGAGAGGGCATTGGGTGGCCTCTGGTATTTATTTGGCATTTATAAATATATAAACTCCTTTTTTACTCTGTTTTTGGGTCCTTCCCTTCTTCTTTGTGTAGAAGAGCTGTGGAAAGTCAGTTGATACCTGCTATATTCTAGGTGGTTCACTTCACTGAAGCAGACAAAACAGAAAAATAAGGATGTTTATTAAGGACATTTCTAGCCCACAGCTAGGGCTCATATTCAGCTCTATGAGCAATTGTCCGACCTCATCCCCATTCAATGTGAATGACACTAGGGAGGCCAGGCCACAGGTAGATCCCACTGTCTGATTAAAGGGGCCTTAGCAAAGGGCCCTCTCGTGGGTAGGCATAGACACACAAACTGCTGGGGACGAAGAGGGAAATAATGAATTAATACATTCTTCTACCCCCTCCCTGGACCCTCTCTTCCTCACCTCCCAGGTTCATAGGTCAAAGGTACCTAGTACCATAACAGGGTACCAAGGGAAAGCCCCTTTTTTTAGGCCCCCAAACTATGTCAAAGGAATGGATGCTCTTCCCTTTTCAGCTATTCCAATCCTGGGGGCCACTGAGGTAGAGGGGTAAGGGGCCAGGACACTCTAATCCCCCTTTTGGGCCCTGTTCTAAGGCTTGCCCCTCAGTGAAGCAGCAGGCTTTTTGCTGGTATGAGAAGGCTGGGGCATCAGCCCACACTGGAATGCTGCAATTCTTCCCGAAGCCACAAGGGGGCTGGCTGTCCAAGCCGGCTCAGCAGCTTTGATAGTTCCAAATTATGGTTCCGGAAAAAATCCGTAAGGAAAAGGCGAGACTGATGGGAGAAACGTGAGAGGAGACAAACAGTAAAGAGTGCAGCTAGATGAGACCTGGAGGTGGAGCGGCAGCCTTGACTCAGGTCTCACTCACCTCCGTGTCCATGGCTGGGTACCTCCGGCCTTTACTTTTCCCCAGACAGCGAGTCTTACCACCTTCAAGTCCCTGGCACCAAAATCCTTTATCTTCATCAAACCTGCTCAAAGGAACAGGGCATTAGGTGTCAGGGAGGAAAAAAATTCAAGCCCCACAAATGCACCCTACCCCTCCCAGCCCACAGGGAGAGATGTCTCTTCCAAACAATCCCCTTCTTTCCCCACAAAAACTTCTTCCTCTTGGACCATGCTCTCCCACCTGAGGGTCCTTGTGTAGTTGAGAAAAGGGGTGATACCCAGGAACTTCTGGATGGTCTCCATCGAGGCTGCTGGGTTGATACGAAGCTCCTGCCCATCCACAATCAGCAACTGAAGGGACAGGGATGTGGTTCCCTCCAAATTCCTAAGACTGGGCTGAAGGGAGGGGACCCTAACAAAGGCTCTTGGGGGAATTGTACCTGTCCAGAGGGATAGTAAGTCAGCCAGCGCTGCAGGTGGGTAGAATAGTAACCAGGGACAAGACAACGGCTCTGCAAGGAGCGAAGTACCAGAGGGGCCTGAGAAGAAGCTGAAATCACTTGGTAGAAGGTATAGTTCAAAGCAACTGGGTCTCCATGTGCTCTCTGGTGCTGCAGGACCAAGGACAAGAAGGGACAGGGCTGGTGATTTGACAGTATTATACTGGCCATATTCTTGTCTGGTGACAACAGCAAAGCTACCCCTCAAGGGACCAGTTTAATTTCCATACCCTCATCCCTTTCTGTGTCTCTAGCAGTTACTACCTTCTGCACCTTTCCCTTAAGGCCTAGAGGTCCCTAGCTTCAGGCAAACCTGGTACCAGGAGTAGGCCCTGTCAGCAGGGTTGGTGAGGACAGTGATGATCTTGGCTCTTGGTAGAAGGGCAGCCCCCCGCCGTGGTACAACCTCTGAGTCAAAGTAGGTGGCACTTTTTTCAAAGAGAAAGTCAGTGCTGGCATTGGAAGGAACAGGAAAGAAGTCCATGTACCTATAGAAGTAGCATAGAAAAAAGAAACATTTCAGTGGCAAGGCCAGATGTTTGTGTGCTGGCAGAAGCTGGAATGGGTTATTTTTTGGAGAAGGCCATGTTGCTCTGAGAAACACTCAAGGGGACCCAGTCTCACCAGTCGATACCCTTGTGGTAATTAGGGCCATTGAAGAACTGAATTTCCTCAAAGGTGCTGGGGCTAGGAAAGCTGCTTGTCACAGCAGGGTGCAGGCTCAGGAAGAAGTGCACAGCTGTGGTGCCTGCATGGAAGACAAGGACCAGCCTGTGCAGGAAAGCAGCTAGCTCAACAGCATCAGTTTGAAGGAACTAAGAAAACACTCCCTTCAGCCAGAGTAAAGTAAGAGAAGAAAACCCTGAGGGAGGCCCAGGAATGGGTTAAAAAACAGTGGCTTTCGCCTTCCACTTTATCGGAACCACTTGTAGCTCCCCTCCCCCTCCCTAGTACTCAGGCCTGAATCTAGAGCCCCCACGTGGGGAATACTCTTCCACAGACCTCTTCTTTTCTGATTTTGAGATTAGGTCTTACTAAGTGGCCCAGACTTCCATGAATACACTCTATAGCTGGGCAGGCACCAAAGCCATCTCTGCCTCCTAAATTGCTGGAATCACAAGTCTGTACAGCCAAGGCTGGCTATTTAATACATTTTTAAGACAGGATCTTATGTAGCCCAGGCTGGCCTCAAACTTGCTTTATAGCCAAGGATGGCTTTGAATTTCTGAACTTGCCTGTTCCACCAGACTGGCTTTTATGCTGGGGCTGAAACCCAGGGCTTAGTGCAGGCTCAGCACACATCCCAGCCCCTCTTTCTCTCTTTTAAACTCTATAGACAAGCCAGGTATGGTGGCTTACACATGTAATCCCAGCACTTGAAAAACTAAAGCAAAGAGATCAGGACGCACTCAGGGTTGGCCTAGGTGATATGAGACCCTGTCTCAAAAAAACTAAACAAATAAAAAAAAATTCCACATATAGGAGCTAGAGAGGTCAGCTGAGTGGTATCCTGTGTAAGGCCCTGGGTTCAACTCTCAGAACACTAAAGGAGAACAAAGCTGTTACCACATTGCCCCTGCAAGCTGACACGCATGGATGGCTCTTTATTAGTAGTACAAGTAGTATTTTTTGAGTTTTTGAAACAGGGTCTTCTCTCTGTAACCCAGGCTAGTCTGGAACTCAGTATGTAGCCCCAGCTGGCTTTAAGTTCACTGTAATCCCCCTGCCCTTGCCTCCCAAGTGCTAGGTGAGCTACTATGCCCATTTTTCTATAAATGTGCTATATAGCTAAATTAAGTGGGGGGGGGAGTTCCTGTCTCAGGGCTGTGAAAGTAACTCTGTAGATTAAGGTTCTTGCCACTAAATGCAACAATCTGTGTTTGATCCCTAGTATCTACATGGTGGAAAGAGAGACCTCAAGTTGTTGGACACATGTATGTACATGTACACACAGACATAAAGGTGCGCATATGCGTGTACACACACACACACACACACACAAAATGTAATAAAAAAATATTATGGTGCACGCCTTTAATCCCAGCACCCAGGAGGCAGAGGCAGGCAGATTTCTGTGAGTTTGAAGTCAGCCTGGTCTACAGAGTTTCAGGACAGCCAGAGCGACACAGTGAGACCCTATCTCAACAAAACAAAACAAAACTGGAAATAACTGATTCCTCAAGCTTTCCTGCACATGTATTTACACATTCATGCAAGCACACTAAATAAATGCAATTAAAAAAAAAATCTTTTCTCAAGAGACTTGACTAATTAGAAGTAGGTATGAGAAGGCAGCATAGGATGAACTGGCTGTGGACAATTTACCTGTCTTCTGTGGTCCCACAATGAGGAACTTGGGGAGTCGATCACATGTTTTCTCCTTGGACCAGATATCTTTGTGCCTCTTGTCATCACAGGGATTCTGAAGGTTAGGCCACGAGTCTGATGAGGACTAATCTTGTGACCCTTGACCCCCATCACATCTCTGTCAGTGTGAGCTCCATCCTTACCTGCCAAAGGGGGTTTCGCTCCTGAGGAAAAAGTTCAAAGTATTTTCGTGCAAGGGGGACAGGAGGAAGGGTCTGGAGACGCAGTCGTGTCCAGCACTGGAGGAAGCGCACCAGGCTCTCAAAGGTGTACAGGCCCAGTCGGTCATTTCCGTAGTTGGACAGGTGTGTCATAAAGACGCTGATCTACAAGAGGGTGCCTTATGTGAGACGCAGCCACCCTATCCCATAATCAGCTTTGGTGAGCGAGGCCCTGGCTTGAGAAGTTTGGCTCTCTAGTCTTCTGGTTCCCTTTTGGTACCTTACCGGATTAAGTAGCACTGTCAGAAAGAGCTCTCCACCTCGGATGCTCCGATCTAGTTCACGAGAACCTCCAGGATACTCGTTGTAGAAGATCGTATGGGTGAAGAGGCCACATGTTTGCCGGGGAAGCACCTGAGAGGAAAAAAAAGTACAGTGACAGATGAGACATGAATGGTAAGATGGAGGGCAGATAAGGACCAAAGTCAGGAGGCATTGGCAATCCCTGGTTTTATAGAGGTTCAGTTTGAAGTTACAGTAACAAAATTTACTATCTGCATTATCAAGATATTTATCCCCTATTTTGTGGATGCCTTGGGCTGGCAGATGACAAGCCACATGTCCAGGCCAGTTAGAGGCTTGTCTAAATTTCAGAGTTTGATTGAAATTAGTAGTGGGAATCCCTCACCATGATGCCATTGTGAATGAAGCCACGGCGGTAGCGGGCAGGACGGAGATGAGGATACTCCTCGGTGCTGGTCACCTGGATGCCCCATACAGATTTCCAGGCCTCATACAGCTGCGTGTGGATGGGGTACACGCCCGAGTGGTGGGGGGCCACAGCATACCCCAGATCCGTAGGAATCCCATGCTCCTGGGAATGGCATAGACTCTCACCAGGACCTGGTGAAGTTTGGGGAGTAGAGGGTAAAGAGGGTGGGGTGCCTTCACAGAAAGGAAACTGGAAAGGGTAGGAAGGGTGTCCATTAGGGAGGGTTAAAAAAGAAACATTATCTCTGGGAGAAAGTATGAGAAAGAGACTCAAGAGTCTCACCAAAGCAAACTGTTTGTTGAGCCTCATCTGGTCGGCCAGCACAGAGCAGTTGTGGAAGAGGTGTGGCTGCATGTGGCTCCACATGTGAGGAAACCACCAGAACTCTTTGCGGTGCTTCAGCAGCATGTCGTCCCCTGCGTCCTCCTCTTCTGTCCCTAGGATCACACACTGACTGCTGACCACAGTCAGCCCCATGCCTTTGTTTTGTAGAAACACTGGCCGTCTTCCATCCTTTGAACATTACCGATCCCTGCCCATGGCCAAGGCTTTCTGTTTGCCGCCCGTGTCAATCCATGTCTGCCCTAAACTCTGTCCCTTTCTCCAACGTGTGTGCCCAGGGTCAATACTAAAGAGACAGAACAGGAAATGAGCTCACCAGTATGGTAGAACTTGCCCGAGAAGCCCAGGTTGAAGGTGAAGTTGGGGACTAAGGTCCTGAGTTTGCTCTGGGTGGTCAGCAGAGCCTAGAAAGAATAGTAGAGAGATGCCAAATCAGGAGACAACATACTGACTGAGAAATATACAGTAAGTAGATGTCTTTCCAACTATAAAAGGCAGAGAATCTATCTATGACCAGCTCAGAATCAAAGCAGGGAATCTGACAGACAGAGTTTGCAAATTTTCTAGCAAAATACACAGAAAAGAAAAAAAACTGACCTCAACATCAGCCACCTTCATGCGAGTACCTTCTTTGCCCACAAAGATGTCATCAATGTCTACTAAGATGTAACGGTCAAGGTCCAGGCAGAGGCGCTTCCCAGTGAGGTATGCAACAGCATCAACGAAGACAAGCTTATGGAGCCAGAAGGAAAGGCCATGTCCAAACAGTACCCGCTGTATGCCATCATGAAGCCCCAAGTCCTGTACCACAGTTGGGAGCCGGGCCCGCCCGAGCCCTGGTCCTGGCACAGGGAGCTCAGCTGTCCGATGGCTAGCAAGCAGCACGGGTTCATAGGTGCTATGATTGGACTGGAAGATGGTCCAGTCATCACCAGGCAGCGGTCCTGGCTCCAAGCGGCTGGGGCGGGTAAGATGTAGTAGTGGGGCAGAAGGATTCACTTGGTAGTCCCGGAGCCCCAAATTTGAGTGTAGAAAAAGGGGAAAGCCTTTAAGCTGGGCACTCAATAGGCTATGCTCATGGGCTCGGAAAAAGCCAATGATGCCTACACCGTACTCCACACAGTACCGGTCTAGCAGCTCTCGGCTCCAGGAGTCCAGGTTAACATACTTCAGAAGGTTCTCATAGATGACCAACACATAGCGGCCATGGCTGTCATCAGTCAACGTGGGCATGTCCCCTCGGCCAGGTGCTAGTTCAGTGCTATAACGAAAACGACTAGACTCCAAAATGGCCACAATCTCCTGCCCCAATTGTGAGTATGCACTTTCCACAAACACAAGAACCACGGGTTCTGTTCGGGTTGTTTCTGGAGGCCTAGGGGGGCGAGGTGGGACTGGCGGTCGTGCAGGGCCGGCTGCCCCACTGCTACCACAGTCTCCCAAGGGCAGAGGCAAGGGTTCCTTGGCCTTGGGGCTGGTGGACACATAATAAGCCAGGAATCCCATGGAGACAAGACTGAAACCAATCAGCAGCAGGATGAGGCGGTGCAGTTCCAGCTGCCGAGCAGGGCGTACCACTTTCCACAGCTGGAGCATGGCGAGAAGTGAGGCAGCAATGGGGACCACCTCAGGAGATGGGAGGAAGGAGTTCTGTGGGCTGGAATGGTCTTGATAGGGCAGAAGAACAAAAAAATACGAGAAAGGGATTCTCTTAGGGTCAGTGACCCATGAGATGGGAACAAATTCTTTCAATACAGGATAGGAGAGGCAGAAGGAGCAACAGGTTGCACTGGACAGAATCTACTGGTCTCAGGTCACCATGGCCCCTGGCCCATGCCTCAGGCTGAAATTTGAGCTTCCTCAGCTCTGCTGGTGGTTCTTCCATCAGAAATCAGCTAAGTCCAGAAGAGTGGCCCCATAATCTGTAAGGCAGAGAAATCAGCACATTACTTCTCCCTTTGAAAGTCTGTTACTAACCCATTCTACTTATCCCATCTCTTACCCCATGCTTTCTATGCAGGCATACGCCTGGACACACATGTTTGAGACAGTCTCTCTCTGGACCTGGAGCTCTCGGTTCCAGTTAGAAGGAATGGCTGGCTAGCAAACCTGTCTGCTTGTTTTAACTTCCCTAGGCTGAGATGTGCACCACCAGACTTTAGTACTGGGAATCTAAACCCAGAGCCTCACACTTGCTCAGCAAGCTCTTCACCCTCTGAGCCATCTCCCCAGCCCAGATGCTTTGCTCTATAGAAGAATACAAGGTGAATCCCATACCTTGGCTTCATAGCTCATTTTTTCTTAGAATACCCAAATAAATGTCCAAATTCTCTTATGTCCAAGCTGGGTCAGCAACACAAGTTATGAAAGAGCCTATCCAGAAAGACCAAACAGCCAGGAGGGTGACCAGAGGTCTGTGAGCAGTCTGCCAGTGAGCAGGAGCACTGTGGGCTCTCTACAGCACATCTCAGAGGCCTCATGACCCAATCAGACATCAGATAGGAGAAATCTCCTGAGTCTTAATCTTCTACATCAATCACACCCGTCATCATCCCCAACGGTACTAACGAACTTGCAGTCATGTGGCCCCTGTGGTGGAGGAACTTGAGAAATGGCAAGAGTTAATAATTCTATTAGTGTCTGAGTCCAGAACTTGGGAGACTTTCCTTGGCACTACTTGTAAAAAATTACCCATACCCTTCTCTTCCCTATGCCAGAATCAGGGGGGAGGATAAAACCCGCTCGTGCATAAGAAAAGCCGGAAAGCCAAGTGCAGACTCTATGCACTTCTCCTTCCTGAACTAACCACATCCTCCCTCCAGAACAGCACAGGAGCATCCCTAAGGATGGAGGAAAATGAGGAATCGAATCCAGCTATACCAAGTGGGTGGAGGGCAGATGATCAGAAGACAGTTTTAAGGGAATCTCACTTGACGGCTTCTTTTCCCAGAGACCACTGCAGGTTTCCATTCATTTTATCTGAGCCACTCCCAGTGAGGTCAGCAGCTGGCAATCCCTCTCCACTGCCATTCCACACACCTCAGCGGGGACAGGCAGAGACAGGATCTTTCAGAATTATTTAGAGTTCAGCTTTGGCCTGGGTAAAACTAAATGACATAACTGAGCTGGGAGACAGAATAAAAACTGTGATGGGGACTGGAGAGATGGCTCAGAGGTTAAGAGCACTGCTGTTCTTCCAGAGGTCCTGGGTTCAATTTCCAGCAACCACAAAGTGGCTCACAACCATCTGTAATGAGATCTGGTGCCCTCTTCTGGTGTGTGTATACATAGTAATAATAAAACAAATAACAAACAAACTGTGGTGGGGCTGGAGTCCTGGGTTAGTAGCAGAGCCCATGCCTTACCATGCCCAAGGTTCTAATGCAATGTCGGGGGAGGGGATAGGAGTCAGAGGACAGGTGTAGATCACAGAAAGAGCTCAAGTCTTTCTTTTTTCCAAAACAGAATTTTTCTGTGTAACCCTGACTGTCCTAGAACTCACTCTATAGATCAGGCTGGCCACAAACTCAGAGATCCTCCTGCCTCTGCTACCCAAGTGCTGGGATTAAAGGCGTGTGCCATCACCACCTGGCAGAACAGTTGTGAGAACTCACGAGTGTGGCCTGTGTTGATAACGGTTATCTAGAGATATTCTGATTAGCAGGCATTCTGAGAGCTTTGCTCGTGTTAGCAGACCTAGATTTAAAATGGTTCCATTCATTACAATGTGCAAATGATAAACATTTAGTATAAAGGATACTTCATATCTTTTTGTGGTTTGGTTTCCAATGCTGGTAGTGGAACATATAGCCTTGAACAGGCTAGGCAAGTACTCCCCCTGCAGTTACAGCCCCAGGCCCTACAATTCTGGTCCTTTCCTAAGATAGTGGACTCATACAATGCTCTCCTTGTGATGTTAGACAGTTTAAGTTCCTCCCCAGCCACACAACTACAATGCTAAGCAACTGACATCATAGAGCAAAGGGCACTGATAGGCACTGCGGTTAGTAGGTTAGGTGTACTATATGCATCTTTAATTTAGGATATTTTAAAGGTTTTTCAGGATGTAAATCAAGTGCACTTGTACTTAATACAAGTTCGAAGAGGCAGGGAAAATACACATAAGTATTGGTTCCATTTTACACACACACACACACACACACACACACACACACACACACACAATTTCAGGCCCAGAGAAGTTTAGTAACTTACCCAATATCACAAAGCTCCGTCAGTGGAGGAACTGGGATTCAAAGGTCAGGCCTGTCAAGTTCCTGTGTTGTAACAAACTGCATTTTAACTTCATATCTAGAAGAAGCAGTAAGATCTAGGGAGGGGGTCATGTGAGAACTGTTATGGGTAGTACAATGACTAACACTGGAGGAGAAACGTGTGTGGCAGTGGAAAGTTTCTGAGGAAGGAGAAAACCAAGGGTCGTCATCCACAGTGGACAGCAAACAGGGAGGGCTGGAGGTGGGCCCACCACTGGGAAAGAGCAGAGCCCACGCTGTGGGGGGACCTGGCCTAGATGATAAAGGGACCCTTCTGCGGGAACTAAGAGCTCACCAAAGAAATGAGGAGCCCACAGGTGGGGGAGCTGGAGGGGAAGGGGCAGGAGCGCGGCCGAGAGTTGACACCAAGCAGGAACCGGCTGAAAGAGCCCGGTAGTGACCCGGGCGAAGCAACCGGAATGGGGCAACTGAGGGGAGAGGGGAGGCCAGCGGCGGGGACATAAGGCAGGGGCGCAGAGGGCCGGATGAGGGGCCGCCCAGGACGACCCTGCGGGTGGTTACAGTGGCGACACTCACGGGGAAAACTGGGGGCGACCGCGGACGGGAGGCTGCTCTCAAGGATGGCTCACCCTGTGGAGTGGCCGGCGTCCCCGCTGTCCGCGGGCCCCGCTGCGTCCCGGGGCCGCCGGGCTTCCCTGCTCGCGGGGCCTCGGGCCGCGTTGCGGCGACTCCGCCATCTCCGAGCGAACGCTCCGCCGCAGCCGGGCCCAACTACCGCTTCCACCAGGGGGAGGCGGCGCGCTGCGGCTCGTGGCGCCCGCTCGGGCCCGCGCGCTCTCTGAGCGTGGCCGCCGCGCAACCGGGGGCTGAGAGAACCCGACGGCCCACCGCCGTGCCCGGCAGAGCCGCAGCCCCGCAGCCCCGCAGCCCCGCGGCCTCGCGCTCGGGCCACCGACGCGGACCCCCTCCTCCACGCCGGGTGGCACAGTCTGCAGAGCGTCGGGGCGGGCCCAAGGCCCAGGCCCGTCCACTCAGCCCCGCGAAGGGGGAGGGAGCCGTGCACAGAGGGTGGGGCCACCTCCCACTGGGGCGGAGCGAAGGCACAGGCCCCCCGCTTAAGAACCCACTTCCTCCCGGCGGCAGACAGACTCTGCAGCTCTGGCTGAGTTTATACCAAGTTTTTTTCTTCAGGCCCCAAGGGAATGGGAAAAGATGTTTGTCTTCTCCTGAAGCCCTGTCACGAAAGTCCCGCGAGCCTCCAACAGAAAGAACACAGTGGACTGTTTAAAGGTTATTTTATTAAATATCTTCAAGGTTTCATTGTAACAAAGCTATGAAGGGACTACCAACATTCAGAACAAACACTAATTTTTAAATTATTTCTAAGTCATCATGCAAAAGTTCTGCATCAAATGCCTTCCATTTCCTGTTTAAAAGGTGGTTTGTTTTTTTTAATAGTCTATTAATAGTCTATAGATGCTGACATTAGCCCCAGAAGTGGAGTTAGAATGCTAAGGACTAGGGCTGGAACAGCCGTATGAAGCTATGGGTCTCAATGAGCTCTAAGACCAATCGTTGTCTTCAAGCCAGCAAAACCAAACCCTGTGGTGAAGTATCTGTGGGCTGGCACGCAGGCTGCAGGGCAGGAAGGGACTAGGGTCCAGGGTCTGAGGCATGCAGAAGGTGCTTGAGGAGCCTGGCTAAATTCAAGCACCAGCACCCTTGAATTTGTTCTCCTCTCAGCTGGTTCCAAAGCCTGTAGTTCTTTTCCCCAGCTCCCGTGTCTCCTGAAATCCACTCCCCTCCCTCCAATGCAGATGCTATGCAGTTGTTTGATGGGGGAACCAAGACCAGGCCAACTGTTCCTCCTTTATTTTCTGTTAATCTGCTTAGGGTACAGATCTTTTCTTCCTGGAATGGAACTCCTTGAGCACAGAGGGACAATGAATGTAGAAGCCTTGGCTCTGGACCCCTTTTCTGGGTACATGCAGGTGAGGGGGTGATGCCCATGCAGATTGTCCAGCAGAAAGTCTATACTTCAGTTGGTCAGTCAAGAGGCCTCTTTAAAGAGGACACTCCTCACTCAAGCAGTCAGTTCAAACTCAAACACAGGGAGAGAGATGGACGTGCAGCATGGGAAGCAGCCCGGAGGGCAGCCAGAATGCATAGAAACAACCACCAACTCTTATTCCACTGCCTCACTCCTCACATCCCACAGGGCACTTGGCAGAGGGCCCAGGTCCAGATGAGGGTCAGCACGGGGACCACCAGGAAAATGCAAGACAAAGATGGTCCAGATCAGCACAGAAATAGAACTGCCGAAAGTGGCAAAAGGAGCCCTGGCCAAGGTCTACATCCCTCCTTGCTAAGTTAGGAAAACCAACAGGAAGCAAAGTAGCAACCCCTTCCTTCCCCTTCCCATCCACAGAAACCAGGCCGCGGTGTTAGGGCCCACGTGCATTGTGCATCCAAGAGAAATGGATGAGTGAGTGCATGTCAGACTAACACGAGGTTTCTCATCAGCTTCATGGCAGATACACGTTTGCAGCACCAATTCTCTTTCTGCCTACATCAACTCGAACAGCACAGCAAAGTCCAGGCCTCCAGTCCTAAGGCCACTGGTTCTCAGCTGCCTCCACAGCAGACGGGCTGGGAGCGCTGCATTCTCTCCCAAGTAGGTCTGACAGCCACGGCATTTTCTTCCATCTCCTTCTAGGTGTTGATGCATGTTCTGAAGAAGTCCACTTCTAGACCTGGGGTAATCAGGCCACCTCTGGGGCTGCAACCACACCATGGCTTCCAAAGCTCTGTCAAGAGTCCTTGCCTGGTCCCCCTGAGTCCACGGGGGCCTGAGTCCAAGCTCACCTCTTCAAAGCTGGTGGGTGAGCCCACTGTCCATGCCTGGATGAGTCACACAAACTCCTGCCTTTTTGCGAGCCCAAGGGCTATCAGTTGCTTTAAAATGCATCACGGTACGAATCCCAGTTTTTTTTTTTTTTTTAAACAATCTTTTTTTTCTTAAATGTAAAAAACACCTCGGTACAGCAGAGACAGACACGAAGGGCGGGCGGGAGGGCTGCATGCAGGGGCGTGCATTGGCTGCTGCCGCTTTGTAATTGAATTGTTTTAAACCTCAAACGAACAGGACTGCCGCTGTCACTCAGGCCCCCCAGAGTCACTGGCTGCGAAGGTTCAACCTCCAGCTGGAATCTCCTGATGCCCCTGTTGAAACAGAAGGTGGCAGCAGAACAGAGGATGATGAGAACACAGACAAAATCCCTGGGATTTTAGTACAATACACACATGGCTAAATCCACTTCAACAAGCAAAGAAGGGAGAAGCCGACATTTGCTTTACAGCATTGCCTCCATTTGAGTGTTTTACATGCTTTATGTATAGTATCGTACTTGATCTTCACAATTAATTCATCATGGACCAGAGGTAGGTACCACTTTCTCCCTCTGTTGGTAACTAAAGAGACTGAGGGCTTAGCAAGAGGGGGACTGCATACACCAAGTTTGGGGTCTGTCTGGTTACAGAGCAAAGCCCAGTCTTTGCCACCCCTCCCCTGCCCAGTCCCTTCTCCCTACCAGGTGTACCTGTGGCTGAGTTCACTGCAGTGGTGCGGCAGGGGCCCCTGAGCAGTGATAGTGAACATTGAGCCACTTGCCATCTCGGCGGTGCCACACCCGGGTCTCCTCCGACTGGCTGGTACGAGGTCGACCCTGCCCATCGATGTACTGGGTGAGCCGGATATAGGCGATGCAGGCTGCGTCCTCCCCAATCACGTGGACGTGCGGATTTAGGATGGTGGTATGGATGGGCTTGCTGTTCTTGGACAGGACTGCAGGGGGCAGGGCAGGGAAGTGGAGGTAGTAGGCATAAGGCTTGGGCACTCATATATTCCTGCCAGGCTGCACCCTCTTTACTGTAGCTCCAGCAGCCATTCCTAGAATCCCCAAGTGCCCTCTCATTGCCCCCAGAGGCCAAGATCCCTCACAATATCAGTTTCTTCCAAAAGGAAGAGAAATGTGGGTAGTAACAATAGCAACTCCTCTTTTCATTAGGTAGTGTGCTGAGGCTTTACATGCAAGACATGGGTTTGTTCACTGTTATTATTTTCTTTACTATAAGGAAAAAGACTCAAATCAAAGAAAATATTTAAACTCAGGACCATAAGGCTCTAATAAAAGCCTGTGGTTTTCTACTTGGTTAGGCTGATGTTTAAAAGTTCTAAGCTCGCTTTGCCCCATCTAAGGCTGAAGAGAAAAATCATGAAAGCAATACATTCAAAGTCATTTTGTGACTTAAAAAGAAAAGGCATATCAAAGTTTAAAATCCCTAAAGTACCCAGTTCAGGATCTCCCCCCCAAACTTCCAGGGTTCTCTGGGTTTGGAAAAGCAAAGGGACATTATTATCAGCGTACAGTGTGCTTATGGTGAAGCTTCCATTCGGATTTGCTTAAGTTCATTCCAGTGCTATAGAAGCTGCAAGAGACCTTCCTTGGAACCAATATAAACACTGCTTCTGGCTTAGATAGCTAGATAGCTTAGATAGCTAGGGCATTAGGCAGGCAGCTAAGGTGTGGAGAAATCACACGAGGGGAGTCAGTGAGGAAAATAGCTACAACGTAACACTCAGGGTAGAATAAGAGCCGCCTAGAATAAAGTGGACAAGAGGAAGGAAAAATGAGGAATGAGGGTCTTGGAAAGTAGAGAAAGAGATGGAGGGTATGATGATTCAGTTCTGGGACCTCTGGCAACTGTTCAGACCATAAATCTCTCCCATCTAGATGCCTGGCTCCCGCAGTGTCCAGGGTAGCCCAGACACAGCTTCTGACCTCACAAATCACCATTAGTGCTTTGTTGCTTGCTTATACGGTTTTGTCCTGCATTTACTTCCTTTACTGTGAGTCCTGCAGACACAGACCTCTCATCATTACTTGCTGAGATCATCTTGACTTAGTCTTGAAGGGTTTATAGTCTGTCTCGGAGAAAAGTGATGCTTGGAGGGATACAACGACCCTAACCCCCTAATGGTGATGATCAACAGGGCCTTGATACAGTTGCCAAATGAATGGGCACTAGTCTTTTAAAAGAGCAGGACACAGGGGGTGAGCACAGAGCAGGATGCAGCAGGAAGGCCAGATAAGGTGAAGATGGGCAACTAGGGGGAAAGGGTGGGTAGGGACAGAAGCGGGGACAGAGGGGCAGGCAGGAGTATATCAGCAGCACGAACCCACTCACGATTCTCAAAGTAAAACTTATGGAAATCCATCCCCTCCACGAGGTTACCAAGGGCTTCTGGCTCAAAGGAAGTGAGGCCCGGGTCACAAATCTTCCTGCAGAAAAGAGGGCCAGGGGTGGGGTGGGGGGCAAAAACAGCCTGTCAGGCCTCAATGGGAATTATGTGCCTTCTTCATCAGTGTGTCTGTCCCACAGAAGGTTAGCTAGTGGCTACACCAGACAAGACAACACTCCTCGGGGTTAGCCTTGCAGAGCCACTCAGCTGTCCTGCTCTTTCTCCCATGTCAGGATAATAGGGCAGGCTCGGCTGTGGGGGTCCTATGGGCTTAGGGCTCAGATATGGCCCTGTTCCCAGGAACACAGACACTTTTTGGAAAATAGAGGCGGACTTGGGAGACGAGCCATCTCAGGGCAATGGGTCTTTACTCACGTGTAGGCCTCAAAGTCTCCATTGTTGATGGCTTCAATCAGTTGTTCTGTGATCTTAATGATCTCCTGTTTTCGCACTGTTAGGGAGAAAAATCCACTAATTTACCTGTTGGGCAACTTCCCAAGGGACAAGAGAGCCCTCCTCCGTCCTTCAGGGATCCCTTATGGCCTCTTTGTCAAAGACATCCTCCTCCTGTCTTTTAATGCCCTGTGCAAGAGGAACAAGCCCACCCTTCACCTCATCCTTTTTGGCATCTGCAGAACCAAGGACTACCTCCTTTCTAAGCCCATCCAGGAGTTATGAAATCTGTGGCCTTTGCCACCTTCTTTATCAACAACCATGTTGCAG